TCAATTACTCAATTACTCAATTACTCAATTACTCAATTACTCAATTACTCAATTACTCAATTACTCAATTACTCAATTACTCAATGCGTTAAAAAAAAACACAGTACAGTAGTATCTTAAATGTATCGATACGGAGTATCTTTATATCTGCTATAATGAATAATAAAATGTTATTTAAGTTTAGTGGAACATGTACGTATTCGGTATTGTACGAACTATTTTTAAATTCAGTTCGGTATTTTTTTTTTTTTTGCGTCAACTTTATGTAACGCTGTACACACTACGTATACGTAATAATATTAGCATTTTGGACTATGTCCATATTTGTGTTGAAAAGATTTGAACGTAGTCCAAATGCTACCGCTACGTACAGTATATATCGAATTAAAAATTACTATGTGATCTTTAATTATAGGTTGTTTTAGGTAAGGATAACTTATGTAAGATATTTTAACAGTAAGTTAAATTTTTAACCGACATAGCTTACGTAACTTAATGCTAGCCGACTCAATCTTAAAGCTGGTAAGATTAACTATTAAATTAGTGTTAGATTAATTTCATCTTAACGTTTAATATTAATATTAATATTGACCAAAATTAATATTAAACGTTAAAGCTAGCCTGCTTTGCCATATTTTGTAACACATGTGAGGTCATGTAATTAACAATGCTATAAATTAACCACCTGGAGTATAAAATAAACACGGCACTTGTTATCAGTTATGGCTCAATTGTATTTTTTTAACATAAATTTTTATATACTGTAGGACGTAACTAAGTGATGTTATGAGCCTATAGCCTAACGTTAGAGTACCCGAACCATTTCTTCTATCAATGAAATATACTGATACGTGTTCTGTAAATGAATAAATGATTACAGGAATAAGAATTTGTACGATACGTATACGTATATTAAATGATTCCGTTTTGAATGATACGTATATACGTACGTACGTAGTAAATCATTATTGGTATAATGATAATGATAATGTATGTACGTACGTATGTGACACGGTTTAAATGGAATTTATTGGACCAATTACAGAATTACTGCAATATCGACATTTGAATTATCGATATTTTGATCAATTGAAAACAAAAATTCAAATTAAGGAAAATTATGATAGTTTTCAAACGTCTCTGATCAGATTTTCAGGGGGCTGAGTCCAAAAGTTACAAACTTAAAAGCCTCGAAAGCCAGGCTTTCTCCTGGCATTACACATTTTCGTCAAGATAGTATATATTATTTTTAACCCCTTCGATTTTTTTTTATTTTCGTATCAATTATCAATACCCCCTGCACCATTGTTTCTATCACATGTATCTAGTCATACGTTACATGTACATGTGTATCAGTATACGTAAATTTATGCGTATTAGTATTTTAGAATTAATTTCTAACCTTCATCTATCTTGTTCCTAGTTGATATTCGATAAAATTGGTGTTAGAAAGAGCCAACAAAGTAATCTTAACGGTTACTAATCTTATTAAGCAAGCAGGTAACAAAATTACATGAATTTTGTTGATATTTAAAATTTTATTTATTTATCTAAAAAAAAAAAACCGTTTTTTTAAAAAAAAGGATGGCTAAAAAACGTTCAAAGAAAAAAATTAAAGTGTAAGTAATAATTTATATGAAATATATAGTATGATAAATTATAACGCTATTATTTAACTTTCATTTTAACTTTTATGTTAACTTCATTTTAACTTTTCATTTTAACTTCATTTTAACTTTCATGTTAACTTCATTTTAACTTTCATTTAACTTTCATTTTAACTTTTCATTTTAACTTTTAACTTTCATTTTAACTTCATTTTAACTTTTATTTAACTTTTATTTTAACCAAAGCTCACCAATAAACCTACCTTCACGCAATACACATTTGAAAAGTATTGTTGAAAGATTATGTAATTACTATAACGAAGAAAGAATGAAAGGAAAGGATAGTACAATGATTCTTAATGGAATAAGTCAATTTTTTGTAACAGAACAACAAAGACCAGAAGACATCATTAGTTGGTGTTTAGATAATCAAAATAATAATCATATAATTCAATGTATTCTTTCGGATTGTTATTATCACGGAAAATGGATTGCAAAAGATGAAACAAAAGCTTTTGAATTGGATCAAAAATCCGCTAAACATGGTTATGTAGTTGCTTATAATGGTCTGGGTTTTTGTTATAGTAAAGGTATTGGAACTGAAATTGATCATAAAAAAGCTTTTGAAAATTATAGAAAAGCTGCTGATCAAGGTTTCGCTTTGGGTCAAAATAATCTGGGTTTTTGTTATCAATATGGTATGGGTACCGTAAAAGATAAATTAAAAGCTTTTGATTTATTTCAAAAATCTGCTGATCAAGGTTGCGTTATTTCTTATAATAATCTTGGTTATTGTTATACTTGTGGAATTGGTACTGATATTAATCATAAGAAAGCTTTTGATTATTATCAAAAAGCTGCTGATGAAGGTTCCGCTTTAGGTCAATATAATCTGGGTTTTTGTTATCAACATGGTGAAGGAATTGAAAAAGATGATAAAAAAGCTTTTGATTTATATAAAGTAGCCGCTGAAGGTGGTTGTATTGATGCTTATAATAATCTTGGTTATTGTTATACTTATGGTATAGAAACTGATGTTAATTATAAGTTGGCTTTTGAAAATTACGTAAAAGCCGCTGAAGGTGGTTTAGCTATAGGACAATATAATCTTGCTTCCTGTTATGAATTTGGTGAAGGGACTAAACCCGATGAAAAAAAGGCTTTTGAACTATATAAACTGTCGGGTGATAGTGGTTATGTTCCGGTATATAAAAAACTTGGTGAATGTTATAAGATTGGGATAGGAACACGTGTTGATGAGGAAAAGTCTTTTGAATATTATAAAAAGGCGGTAAAAGAAGAGTTGTCAAAAACAATGTAAATTATTATATAAGCATATGATTTGTTTATATTTTATTTGTTGTACGTAAATGTATATAGTTATATAAGGTTAAGTAAATAAAACAATTCAACCTTAATTCGTTGTATATTAATATATCGATATATTATCATTATCGTTATCGTTATAAGTTTGGTTATCTGTTATGTAGGTTACGTGGGTTACGTGGGTTACGTGGGTAACAGGTTTCTAATGCATAACAATAAAGAAAGATAAACAATTCAACGGGAACCTCGCAGGATTTTTGTGTATTATCGATCTTACAATAATTCATAAAAATATTTGCTAATTTGCTACTGTATTAGTATATCTGATATTATCTATCTACAACCGGTTATCGCGTAATTTTAATAAATACTAATACACCTGCCTAATTTTATTACATACGCTTTTACACGACAATAAGTAACATAAAATAAATAAAATAGAGTCACCATTAAACATAAAAATTTCACTTTCATTTTAATATATAGTATTATAGTATACTTTGGCATTTTTATTTTATCTAACACTAAACAACACCACTCATTCAAAATGTCGTCAATTAAAATAGTATTATAAGCCGATTAGCGTTAGAGTTTACTGTAGTGACTTAATCGACTCAGTCGGCTAAGTCAATCGATTTTCGGCTTAGTCGACTTTTAATTAAAATAGAATCGACCGTATTCTAAATTTAATTATCGTTCAATATTTATAAAATAACATTAAGAATCCACTTAAGTGGATTTTTAATCTTAATATCTTAGAATTTTTTAACATCGAATTAGTCGGCCAATAGTTTAGACCTCGCCTACTAACACTAAATTAAACTATATATATACTTTATTTATGCCAGTAACATGATTTATTATCAATCGCACTATAATTACTATAATTACTATAATTACTATAATTACTATAATTGAAATAATCGAAGTGGACAAGTAGATTGTGTTGTAAATTTAGGCACCTGAAGTTACACTTGCCTAAAATTACTATTACTAGTTAATGCGTACAATTACATTATGACATGTATGAAAGGATTATATGCCACTAAAAAAGCAATTGTTTACATTTAAAAGATTCCACTCATTAACCTACTATTCATATATTATTCAATTGAAAATTATAGTGCATAATCGGTTTTATGATTTCTCATTTATTGATAATCTCTTTATACCGAAAACCGAAAATATACAAACAACATTTAAACATCATATTAAACACATTAAACAACATAATAATAAATCTATATAAAAGAAATTGAATATTATTACTATATATTACTCGGCTATGTTTAAATGTTCAAAAGTTAAAAGAGTGTAACCCAAACAATCAATTTGTTTTGAAAAAGATTTAGACGAAGCCATTTGAAATCCTACCAATTTGAAACCATGAGGAGGTTCACTAACGAATCTTTGTGCATTTAAGTCACTTCCAAAAATTTCTGAACTATTTACATTTATATCACTTTTAAGAATATCAGAGTTTGGAGTACTATTGAAATAGAATTGAATACCACTAATGATACGATCAGAAAAGTAAACTTCTACCGAAGTTATATAAAGATCTTTACTAAGACCTCGAATAGTTGACGCTTCTCCACCTTTTACATCCCCTGCAGTGGTCACAGGAAGACCTTTGTATTTAACCGTTAAACCATGCACGATATCAGAATAGTGAATGTTTAAGCCTGTAATGATACCACGTTGCTCAGGACTCAAGTGAAACCTTTCTTCATAATCTGTTCCATAATTTTTTACATCTGGAAAAGCACTTTTTCCAACAATTCCATATTGAAGGGTACCAATTCTTCGATTAGGTGCTTCAGGAGGTGCAGCCCATTTACCAGGTAAGAATTTATTCAAATCAAAAGTATATACATACATCTTCATAAACGCGTCTTTTGCTTCATTAAGAAAAGCCATTTGACCTTGTACACATAATTCACGATGTTTTTCCACCATTTTATCATCATGAATGAAAGTCTTCGGATATTGAAAGTACATATACAAGTTATGAAAACTATCATTTACCAGACAGGGAAAGTCTGGATCGGGGTTTGTTTCGAGACCTCGAAAAATAATGAGACTTTTACGCCAATCTTCCCATTTATCATACATATCTATAAAATATTGCTTATATTCCTGAACTTTTGTTATTAGATCAGCTTCGTATGTTTTATTTAATCCGTTAGAGTATATATCCTAATAGATTAATAATTAATAAATATACAAAGAATTAATATTTTATGTTAATATTTTATGTTACGACGATGAATTTATAAAATCATTTTAATAAATCATTTTAACAAATCATTTTAACATTAACGTTAGAGAAATTTATACCTTATAATGCCTATGCCTTTCTCTCAAAATTGTAAGATGAACAAATGCGAATACAATTGCGGTAGTAAGTAATTGCACATTATCCTTTTCTTCAACAATTGTACTTTTATAAAGACTATCACACAATTCAATTAAGTTATCCATATGAAGTGATCGTCCTTCTTTTTGAGCATCCCGATATTTAATAAGATTTTGTCTAATTTTTTCTAAAGCATTTTGCCTTTGTTTAAGTTCTTTCCTGACATCTTCAATATTAAGAATTTCTCGAGATCTGTCAGTTATCAAATAAAATATACACATTCCATCATCTTGGAAAAATAATTTGATTAAGATTTTAATCAATTCCGTGGGTTCTGTGTCTTTGGAGATTGACTTGGTAAACTCTGCCATAAAATAATCCCATACTTTTGGTGAGGCCATTGTTTATTGTTTATTATTTAGATGATGTTTAAATGATGTTTGTTGAAATGATGTCTAAATGATGTTTAGACGACGTTTAGACGATGTTAAAATGATGTTTAGACGATGTTTGATAGTTTTTTTTGAAAATCCTGATAAAAATTTTTACGCCCATATTTATACAAGATCAAAAGGATAAAAAAGGGTAAATAAAATGCATAATGTAAGTTATGCCGTAATTCGCTTTTATGTATTTATTTAAACGTTAAAAATACTGTAAAAAAAAAATCAATAATTTGCATAACTGATAATGTTGTAATGTGATAATGCTGTAATGTGATACGTATCACCATAACTGATAAGTACGTACTGCGTACAGTACATACGTATAATCAGAATTCATTGGTGCATCATCACTACAATGAATACATTTTAAGTTATTATAATTAATTTACCTTATTTGAAATAGAAATATCGAGAAACTTCGGCTGAAGAAGCCAAAACACATAGGCCAAAGTTGAATATGTACCTAACATAAATTGAAAATTTCATAACAATAGGTGTTTCTGCGATCAGTTGTAATAAGTTGAAGCATGCGTAACGATAATCTCTTATATTTTAAGCAGTTGAAACTTTCTATTCATTGTTATTACTAATACTACATCCAATATCGCTACGTATTGTGTGCGTGCGTGCGTACGTACTTATGTAAAGTTCGGAATTTAAACACCATGATCTCTCTTTACGGATACAACTAGCAAACGACAATATAGCACATTGAGATCAATTTTGCCTAAATTATTAACGTTAACAAAGTGTGTACGTATTGCGTAACGCATTGAGATCAATATATTGCCTAAATTATTAACGTTAATAAAATGTGTACGTACATATTAACGCATTGAGATCCATATTGCCTAAATTATTAACCTTAATAAAATGTGTACGTACATATTAACGCATTGAGATCCATATTGCCTAAAGTATTAACGTTAATAAAGTGTGTATGTCGTACATACGTATGTAAATTGAAGAACGTTTGATTTCAACGTGTTGTTTGATTATACATTACGTCTATGTTGTTAAACGTTTGGTCGACTTCAAAAGTCGAATTTTAATTAGGATCAGACTCAAGTACACTTACGTACGTACGTAAAAAGCCATAATATTATTAAAGATAGGCATTATTGGTTTAATGCAATGCGATATAACGATAATGCGAGTACGTACAGTACGTACGTATCGGTACGTATAAATAATTTCCAAGTTTTGCAGGTCCCTGGTGTGTAGTCTGATGTCACACGGAATTTCACATTTCTCTCAAGCCGATTTAAAAACGATTAAGCCGAAAGCTTAATCTTAATATCCTTAATTCTAAAGAGAAATCGTGGTCTTTAATTATCCGCACTGTACGTACGCTGTACGTATGATGCAGGAAATCTAAAAACTACGATCTCTTAATATAGTGATGAAGTATAAACAAGTAGCACATCGAAATCAAATCTTTCTTGATTTATTGACTTCAATAATGTATTTACGTACGTACAAACTTTATTGATGCTACGGAATAATTTAAGAAATACATTACGTACGAACGTACAAACTTTATTGATGCTAATACAGTAATTTAGGAAATACAGTACGTATTTGATTCCTATATGCTACTTGTTTAAACTTTATTTCTATATTAAGATATTGTGATTTTTAGATTTCTTGCACCGTAAGTACGTATGTACGTACTTATCTCTTTTTTCATCATGCATTTATACTAAAGTGTTTATTTTCAAATGCATATTTCCCAAGATACACTGGCCCCGTTCAGCGGTTCAGACTTTTTTCAGCAGTGCGATATATTAATATATATTAATAACGATTCAAATTTTTTTACTAAACCAAATAAAGCATCCGTATTGCTGTATTAGGGTATATACTAATGAAAAAGAGTTTGAATCGCTGAACGGGACCACTGTGCCGTTTTTTTGTTTCACCTTTTTTTGAAATTTGTGTTACTAATCGCGGTCAAGTTGCGTTAGATTTTTAGATATACTATAATATATTGATATACCCACGCATTATGAAATGATAATGCATAACGCATATGAGCTAATTCGGGACATGCATAAAGTCTAGACTTAATGCCCTAAAAATTGTTTAATGATGGAACAGGTTGTT